CAGTTCGTGCTCCATCCCCTCCGCCTCCGCCGTGAACATCACGCTCTTGCCCGTGTCCATGGCAAAGTTTGCCAGCCCGTCTGCTGTCTTGTTGTGCTGGCGGTAGTGGTGCTGCCACACTTGGACCTGCCCCTGATCCGCCAGCTTCCGCGCTAGTCTGAACCAGTGCTGCAACTTCCTCGCTTTGGGTGCCTTTCGCCGACGCGTGAGTCCCAGGATCATGGCGCTGTCGCCCACTAACTGCATCCCTCTCCATCTCCTAGCCACTGCCTCCGCGAGTAGCCTCTGCAGTCCCACAAACTCAGCCACATTGTTGGTGGTTCGTTTGTTGCTCAGGCTCGTTGCCGCGGCCCACAGTATCTTTGGCCTCTCACTCTCCCCGGTCCATTCTACTATCACGCTGCCACTTCCTCCGGGTCCGGGATTTCCCCGTGAGCCTCCATCGAAAAAGCCCACCCGTGTCACGCTGCCTCCTCCATCTTCTGCATCTGCCTGCCTAGTGGCAGCCGCCCATGTTGCGCGTATCCGCTTTGCCACAATTATTCTCTCGTGCGATCTTGATGTTAGCGGGAACAGTCCCAATGTGTATCTCAGTATCGTGTCCTGCAACGACGCCTTAAATCTGTTGACTGCATCTTCCAGCTGTCCGCTGTCGATGCCGTCCGGGTGCACTTCCGCTACCTTCCACCTCCAGATTGCCGTGATTGTTGCTGCACATCCCATTGTCCACGTTGATGCTGCTGCTTCCTGTATTGCTTCCCATCTGTCTACTTCCTGTCCGTCTCCTCAGTCTATCAGCCACTGTGGGAGCTTGCTTATTGTCAAGGAGCATATATCTCGTTTCAGCGCTGAGTTACTTCCCCATTCGCTTCCTAGCCCAGGCATCCCCCATGCTTCCACCCAGACACTCCAAAAGGCCTTGGCGTCCGGGCAATTCCACAGCAAGTGATCTTGCCCGCTCTCCGTGCACTTGGTGCATCTCGTCCCTGCGCATTTGTACTTCATCTCCTCTCCTCTCCATACCCTCAATCTCCCCATTTTCATCCTCACAATGTTTTGTTTCTGGTACGCTGTTACCCCGTGCATCCGCTATACGCTCTTCCACGAAAATTGCTCCATTGCCCTGCTGATGGCTGTGTTTGATTGCCCCCTTTTGATCCTCATGCGTTCTTGCTCTTTTGCCGCGGCGCTGCGTCGCTTCCTCCTTATTACATCCTTGTATGCTTGACGCGAGCTAGTCCATCTTCTCTTCCCCGCCCATAGCAGCTGCATGTGTGTCCGGTCTGGATGCGGCGTTACCCAGACCGCCTTGGGCGTCGTTTTCAGTAGCTCTGCTATATTAGCACTCTCCTCCGCCGGGCCGTCCCCCATGCTCACCTCCTTCTCCGTGAACGCCAAGCCGTGCCTGACAGTCGTTCGCCTGTCAGAGTTCTCGACCCAGGAGCGATGGTGTGGATCCGTTAGTCCATGCTAGACTCTTAATTTGGTCGCGCCTGTGGTTTGGACACTAGCTCCGGGAATTGAGCCAATAGCGATAGCCCTAACTCTCTGAAGAGGTGCGCTTGCCTGCTTTCCATCGGCATCTCCGTGGAGTGCGGTTGCACTATCACCCTGCCTTTGCTCTCGTACTTGACTTCCATCAGGTCTCTCACCAGTTGGACTCCTCGTCCTTCTGTTAGCCTCCTCTATGCCGACCACGTCCGTACTGCCCCAGTTGCGTCCCGCGGCACCAGCCTCTTGTACGGCAGGTTTGGCACTGTTTGATGTATCAGTCCGCCGCATTCCTTTTCTCTCCGCCTTCTCGCTTGTGTCATTCGCCCCAGTATTTGTGCTCCAAATTCACACACCAACCCCATCTTACTCCAGGTCGTCTTCATGCCGTTTTTCAGCCTTATCTCCCGCCTTATGTCCGCCGTACTGTCTTCACTGGTTCCTTGCGGCATCTCTGGTGCGAATCCTGTCTCGACTATCGGCTTGCCGGTGGTCCAGATGTCTCCTTGTAGCTTTGGCTCAGCACTGTTCGCATGTGGTATAATGTGTCCGATGTTGACTCCTGCCTGTTGCTGTAGCAACTTGCCCGCGCTCTGCTTGCTCTTGGTCGTAGCGGTGGCCCATGTCCCCACTGTCGATGCGGTTAGTGCCATCAACTATGTTGTGATGTTTGGCACTCCCAGCCCTCCTTCCTTGGGTCTAAATTCCGCGACCACGGCCGGTATCCAGCCCCTCGGGGCATAATTCGGATTGGAGAATGACGATTGTCAGACAAAGTTCCTCATTCTCCAATCCGCTTCCTTGACCAGGTCACCGTCCGGCCAAGCGTGCCTTGCCACGTACAGTAATTTTGAAACTAAGATTGCCGACGCGATTGTCGCCCTCTCCTGAACTGTGTTCGTCTTTTCGACTGCAAGCGCTAGAATGGTTGTTAGTGCTGCAAACGCCTTGGCCCATGCGCTTTTCGTCCTGTCCGTGGATCCTGTGATGTGCCCCAGGTATCTTGTTTCGGTGGCTTCTTGAAGTGGTTGGGCCCCCCTCCCTCTTTGTTTTAACTTTTCCGTGCCTGCGTCCCCCAGTCGTATGGATAGCGATTTCCCGGCGTTTAGCAGTAGCCCCGACACTTCCGAGAATTGTTTGAATGTCTTCAGCGCCGTTGCCTGCATTGCTGCGTCCTCGATGTAAATCGCCGTGTCATCTGCGTAGCCAGCTATTTGTATCTGTTCTCCCTCCTCTTGGTCCCCTAGTCTTACTCCTCTGATTCCGTCCTCACACTGCACTGCGTCATACAAAAGATCCACCGCCAGTATGAATAGCAACGGAGCCAGCGGGCAACCTTGCCTTATACCACTCGTGACCGGTATTGCCCTCGATAACGCTCCATTGGCCATAAATTTTACCTCCGTGCGCTCGTGTGTATCTCGCACCAGCGCTCTGAATTTTGGGGGAAACCCCTTCGCCCCCAGCACTTTGTGCAGGTATTCCCTGTCGAGTGAGTCGTATGCTTTCGCGAAGTCTAGAAGCAGCACTTGCGCGTAGGTGGGCTCCTTTTGCCCGTCGCTGCTTCTTTCACCGCCCCAAAAGGTCGATTGCGTCGTGTATTGTCCTCCCTGGGATGAAACCGTACTATGTTTGATGTACCAACCGCTTTATATGTCTCCGTACTCTCCACGACAGTATCCTGGTGAGAATCTTGTAGTCGTTCAACGTCTTTCTGGACGAAGGCAGCACACCAACGTCCTTCAGCGAAGCGTACATCTTCAGTATTTCAAAGGGGGGAGTCGGTATTCAGTAACGCGATTGGCCGGTAGTTGAGTCCGTTGCTTGTGTCTCCCCCCCTTTGAAATACTGAAGATGTACGCTTCGCTGAAGGACGTTGGTGTGCTGCGTTCGTCCAGAAAGACGTTGAACAACTTCGTTAGTATTGGCACCAGAATATCCGCGAAGTCGCGATACCATTCGTTGCCTATGCTGTCCGGTCCGCACGCTTTTTCGATCTTGCATTTCTTGATCGCTGCTGCTACTTCCTCCTTCGTTATTTTTCTGTCGATATCGTCCAAGTCCACTTTCTCCCAGGTTTGTCTGCATTTGCGTATGAATTCTTGAGCACCCCCCCCCTCGTCTTCTGCCTTCCCGTTGAAGATGCTCTCCCAGCAGTCTGCCAATGTATCAGCCTTATCGTGTGTGCCCCGCTTGGGTGCTCCGTCGGCGGCCTTGAGCGCCGGGATGATATTGTCTCCGTACTTGGTGCAGGTCCTGTTGAAGAAGTATTTCGTTGACGTTTTCGACGTCCATGCTCCTTTGTTGATGAGGCCTCTGCGTTGAGATTGTACCTGTTTCAGCTCTGCTATCCACTCTTCTCGCTGCTTTCTGTCTTCTCCGGTTCCGTTCCTTCCAGCTGCCAGCTTCCGCTTCAGCCTGCTTATTCTTTGTCTGCTTCCTTTGGTCATCCTTCTTCGTGCGTGTTGCTTGAGTTGCGCCATCTCCTTCTTTACTCCTTCTTTGAAGCGGTTCCATTCCAAAGCCCATGTACTTGGGCTGATGTCGTCTAGTCCGGCCCCCCAGTTCGTTAATCTCTTCTCTATCATGTCTTTTGTCGCCGCCTGCACGTACATCGGTGGGGGATATACTGTCTCTATCTTTTTGACCCTGACGGCTCCGTTTGGATAGTGCATCTCCAACAAGACTCCCCTGTGATCAGAGTCGCATATACCCTCATCCGAGGTTACTCCACGTACTTGTTTCCATTCGTGTCCACTGATGTACCATCTGTCTAAGCGCGAGGTTCTTTTCAATCCGTCCGCTGTCGTATAAGCGTATGTGCGGTGTGTACGGGCGTACGTGTCCACCTCGATGTCCGTCATTGCCTCTGGCATGTTGCTCTCTCCTGTGTCCACTAGCGCGTTGTCCTGCAAAAACATACGTAGTGTCCTCGCCCCCGCATCTTCTGTCCCATTTGATCCGCTTCTGTCTACCTCTGCCATCGTTACGCACTTAAAATCCCCTCCACATGTGACGGTATGTTCCTTCGGCAGCTCTATCCCCCGGAGCCTGTAAGAAAAAGCGTCCTTGTGGGTCCGTGAGACGGAGCGTACACGTTGACGAAGAGATGCCGGTTCCCTTGTATTTCTCCTGTGGTCATCATTAGATGCTCCGTCCAGTGCTCTTCACCCCATGCCTTCAGGTCCTTCACTGCTCCATACGGATGGATTAAGATGGCTACCCCTGCTCTTCTGGCAGTGCCTGACGACCATAGTGAGAGTGTGGTGGTGCATGTCTTTTTGTACCCCCACATCGCCGTATACTGTGCAGCTGCTGCTTCTTGTTCTATACTTGTTAAATGGGTCTCTTGGATAAAGGTGATGTCCCTCACTCCGTGCTCCTGCCGCTCCCGCAGTACTTGTAAATATGCACCCAGGTGCTCCTTGTGCATTGCCATTCCTCTGACGTTGTAAGTGACCAAGCCCACAGTTTTGTCGTTCATGTGTTGTTGCGCCGCTAATCGTCGTTTACGTCTCCTCGATGTTCTCCGTTGTCTCGTTAAGAGTCTGTCGAAAGTCTTGTGGTCCTCCGCTATTGGCTCCATCCGTTCCTGCTCCGTAACTTGCCTGAAAAATCCTCGTATGAGCTGCTGCCTTCCCCTTCCTTGCTGCAGCCGCTCGATCCCTTGCGGGGTTGGATCACTGCATGGTTCCCCCATCACCTGCTTGTGTCGTGGGTCTTTCTTGCCGCTCCGGCGCCACTGCCGTCATTTCCTTGGGCTTCTCTTCGTGTCCGCTCCCTTGTGTTATGTGTGTCGGTGTCACGCTTGGTAGGTAGTGTGCTGTAGGTGCCGTGCCGATTGCTTCAGGTTTGTTTGACTTGCCTCCGGGTCTTACACCCCCGTCCAGTTTCCTGTCTTCCGTCGCGGTAATTTTTGTCGGCTCCGACTGGGTCTTTTCGTCAGAAAAGTAGTTGTTGCTGGACTGTCCTTCCTTGTCTCCCTCTGCCTGCGCTGGCTCGCTTCCTCGTTTCATTTCCTGCTCGTCCCCCTGTACGTCCCGTGTTTCTGTCTCCAATTTCTTCGCTTCTCTTCTGATAGCTTTTAATTCCCTGGCAGCTGCTCTTGCGGTCTTATCTGAATCGTAAGGCTCTGGATCTAGCCCTCTGCCTCCATATTTTTGGATAATGTTGTTGCGGCGTTCCGTGAGCTCCTTCCATCGCTCCGTGTATTCTTGGTATCTTGTGGCCTCGTAGGTGACCGCTTGGTAGTGGTTCCCCGTGCCGCTGTACCTGAGTATCATGATGATAGGGAGCGTGCCAGCTGCTATGAGGTCTCTCAGTAGGTCCGCTCCTATTTGAGAGGGCAGTGGCACTACCATGCCGGTTTCGATCATTGTTTTGTCTGGGAGCTCCACGTCGTGGTAGCCATAAACTTGCAGCCTGGTGTTCTCGTCCTGCATCACATCTAGCGCATATACCAGTTCCCTAGCGTGCATCGCCATTGCTTTGATGTGTTCGGGTCTCACCCAGTAGTTCATGGGCACGAACGCTTTTGCTGATCTGTTGCGTTGGTCTTCGTAGTGGTTGGCCAACGCTTTCAGCTTCTCCGCCTTTGGAGCTTGCATGGTCATATCCTTCCTGATTGCCTCCACTGCTGCTTCAAAATCTGCTTCGTGCACCTCTACTTCGTCCACCAAGTTCGCAATCATGCTGTTGATGACGTATTTTTTCAGGATGTTCGCTGCGTCTGCTGTCGCTGTCTCCATTGGCTTGAGGCCCTCCCTGACATTGTGTATCGCGGCCAGGAAAGCCAGCCAACCGCAGTGCCCGTTTGCGGCCACGTCGGTTATTGTTCCCCCACAATGTCTAGCCAAACTTTGAGCGGTAGTCCGTGATCGTCTCCCTCTTTGACTCCTGTCATTAGGAAACCTTCGGCGTTCAGGTGTTGGGTTTCTTCTTGTTCTCGCGGCTGGGCTCTTTTGCTCTCGGTTTCCTCCTGCTTGGTGGTTGCCGATGTTACGTAGTTGTGCATGTATTTCTGTATGGCACGTCTTCCTCCCTGAATGTTACCATCAGATCCGTGTTTATTCGTCTCTTGGTGCTTGGTGCCTCGTTCTTCTGCTGCGTTCTTCTTTAACGCTTTACTGCTTCTGCTGCTGTCACTGTCGCTGGCCAGCTTCCAATTTTCGGAAAGTTGTCTTTTCGGCGACAGTGACCGCGAGTGCTCTTCGTGCTCCGCAGTACCTGCCTCAGGCCTCCGTTTGGCACTGCGTGGGTCGTGCATTTGTGCCTGTTCGGGTCGGCTTGCTTGTTCCCCCTTCTCCGCCCTGTGGCATCCCTCGTTTACACCAGTGTCTGTCCGGTTGTGGCGTGCGTCTTGCTCCGCAGGGGCCTCATCTCGTTCACTCATGTACCAGTCTTCTTCTTCATAGTCGAAGCCTCCGTCCTGCGTCGGTTGATCACCTTCTGCATTAACTCCTGTCTCCTTGTGTGCCTCTATAGATGCTGTCCGCTCCGATGTCTTGACTGCACTGTACCCCGTGTTACTTGTTTCCAAATTATCCGGCTCTTTTGAGACCGCCGTTGCCCACCTGGCCTGCTCCCAGTCCTCGGGAATACTCGGCCTCTCACTTCCGTCTGCTGCCGCTTGCTGCTTCTCCCGGCCTTGCTTCAGAATCTGGGAGGTGCTCGATAGTTGACGTCCTTTGACTTGTGCTAATAATTGCTCGATGGTTGTTGGATGCTCGTTGCTGCCGTATTCGCGTCCTCCTTTTCCTCGCTATGATAGTAGCTTGCCTTCTAGTTGCACTGCGTGATTCTGCTGTGTCTCCTTGATGCGCTCGGGCAGCGTTCTGCAGAAACGTCCCGAGTGGTCAGGTGCTCCACATAGTGTACATGGCCAATGGGGATAGACTTCGTGATGGTACACCGTCAATGAGATGTCGCCCACCACCATGCTGGATACTCTCCTTAGATTCGCTGGGCACGCTTCCGCCTTGATGCTGACATTCCATTGCTTGTCATTCACGTTTCCATCTCCCGTTTCAACGTGCGCTAGTGCTTGCACTCGCACCCCTATTTTCTGGCTTAGTATCCAATACAGGTCAGAGGAGGTGGGGCAGCCCCTCTTTGCCGCAATCGTGAATCGATAGAAGTCCATATGAAGCAGAGCATTATTCGCCTTGGCTTCCTCTCGTTGCGTCTCGTAGTCCACCAATTTGAGCATTCTCATCCCCAGCGGCATGCCCCATCCAACCCATTTCATGGCAGTGTTCTTCCCTTTGAAGGTCACCTTGACTACTCTTGTCTCCGTGTTGATTTCTGCTCTTGAGATATCCCTCTTAAACTTCATGATTTGTATTTTGTGTGGATAAGCGGCTTCTGCTCCCATATTCATGTGCTGCAGGATTGCTTGTATCGACATGTTGGGCCCGAAACGCTATCCAGGGAGTAAATGAGCGTATAGTGGATATTCTTTCGCCATGAACAGTTCAGTGAAAGCCGCCAATTCCCTAGCGTCCATGATTTGAATCAGGAAACGTGGAGGTATCGGCACCTCTAGCTGGTGATGAAGTATCATCTCGATTGCTTGTTTCTCTTCGTCCGTCATATCTCGTAAGACCCTGATTGGTTCCGCCTTCTTCATGCATAGTTGATACCATTTTTGAAGGTCGTCGTTGTCTTCACCGTTTTGTTTGGTAGGCTGCTCTTCTGTCTCCGCTACGGCATCCTTGTAAGATCTGCTCGGTTATTCGCGTCTGTGTTTTCTTGAGCCTCTCTTGGGTCATTTGTGAAGGTGAACTGCATGAGTCTTGCTTCAAGCTCCTCTTGATTGACAGCTTCTTTAATCAGCCATTCCTCCATTAGTCCTCCTAGTCGTTCCCGGTGGTCTGCCTTGGCGCAGTCCCATGAGCTTAGCCGCTCCTTGTATTGATCCCTCAAGTATAAAGGAATTTCATCTGTCCATTGCTCCCTGATCTTGTCCTTTTCTTCGGCCGTGGCTTTTTGTTTCTTCATCTGCTCCAGGTGAGCTTTGAATCGCCGCTCCTTGGCGAGGTCCTTCAATCTCAGCACTGTGTGTAGCACATACTCCGTAGGAGCTTTGTCCATCATGTATGAACGCAGTTGGGCGTAAACTGTAACCCCATCTCCCGAGTCTGGGGCTCCTTGTCTCCCCTCTGTTCTCCTTGGTCTCTCTCCTCGTGCAGCTGTCCCTCCTGGTAGACTGCGCTTGCTGGTTTCTGGTTTCGTTCCCACTCTCCCCTGCTCTCCTGCTCCTGTTGAGCTTTCGTACCTCCCCGCCGAGCCGCCCATGCTTGCTTGATGCTTTCCGTGCACCACTGTCTTCCATCCTTTTTTATTTTCCGGTTCATTATCTCCTCCTTTTCCTCCTTGCATGTGTATCCCTCTGCCTCCCATATGGCCTTCGTCCGATCATGTTGCCACCATTCTGTCCCTCGTTGATCTCCGTCCGTTTCGACGCAACATTTCAATAGTACTTGAAGATTGTATGACCCGGGGGTTTCGCGTCCTTCCAAACGCCCCCCCCCCCGGATCTTTGTTGCTTGAGCGCTTCCTTCTCTCGGCTGGGGTCTTGAGCAGTCGCGCGCAAATTTGGAAGTGATGATGAGTGTACACTTGCAGTAAGGTGGATCAAAGTGGCCTGGATCCAAGACAGTGTACCTATAATATGGCGACCTCATTATAATTACGCCATGAATCCGGTGGATCTGATACTGATACTGCTGGAGTGATGGACCAAAGCGAAAAGGGCATGCAGACGAGCCTGGTAGGGGATTTAGCAGGTAAAAGACATAGAAGGTAGACATCGAGGCAGATATAGGCTTAACTTTGAATCAAACCTCAATTTGCACAGTATCACGCAAGTGCCTTCCTGCTCTCAGGAATCGGAGCTACTTTGGCCGTACGAGCTCGGTGAAGGTTGGGATTGCGAATCCAATGCTGGTAGCGATAACTAAATAGTACATTGGCCAGATCCTACCACCTAGTGAGCTCTCCTTTACACGTGCAGATCCGAAGGGTTAACCGGATTTACTTTTTTGGCCGGGTATACCTAAGCAGGATGATCCGTGATCTGCTGAACTTTCCTCACCTTGTGTATCCGTCGGTAGGGCGGGATCTTGCTCTCTAGGTAACTTCCGAAGAGTTCAAGTGGTGAAGCTGGAGTGTCTTGGCGAGACGTGGGGTGGGGTGGAGTAGTAGTGGTAAGATCTTCACTCTGCGTCCGTAATTGTTTTTGAATCCCAAGCGAATATTCGGGCTTGACGGATCCAGGGCCTAGATCTGAGATCTGGCCGTAGGGTTGCCTTGCGGGTGTGCTCCCTTGTCTTTGTTTTCCTTTTGCGCCGTACTTGCCGCCTCCTGTAGCGCGATCTTGAGAGTTGAGAGGGGGGACTCCTCCGTTAGTCGGTGTCTGAGCGCTGTTGTTAAGTTGAATCCAGCAATCTTGCAGATTTGGCTGATTCTGCTACACCACAGCTACACAAAGAACCCTTACAGTCATCACCAGTACATGGCTCTTCTCCACGAACAACTTATCAGCCAGAATGCGAGGTGCTTTACAAGTACGGTCTCAGGTGAAGTCGCGCCATCGATTTTCATTCGACTAGTCGCTGTACACACTAGTGCAGTCAGCCGATACACGGGTATAGGCGATGTGTATCGTATTCGGCAACACCAAGGTAAAGTCTGCTCGATCTATAAGCCTATTTACTAGAAGCGAGGTGGAACAAGCTCCTCCTACTTCCTCCGGTGCTCTGAAGGTAGTAGGGGCCTCGTCACACTATGCAACAAGGTGCGCAACTACGAGGAGAACAATGACTTACCTGTGGCCAAATTTGGCATAATACGTGACGTAACGGTGAATCTTCTTGATAGCCGATCATGCTAGAGACCGTTGTGTAGGTAATGGAAGTACTCTGCATTGTTCAAATATATACTAAGCGCACTTCTGGCTTTACAATTGAAACTGTAGAGCCTTCACACCAAATACACGAATATTTTTCATTTGTTTTAGCGTTTTTAGAAGCTTTGATACGTAATATGGAAATTCTGTCTTGTTTGCGAATTATTACCGAAGAGGTTAGCAGCAAAGTGGACCAAAAGCCAACTAAAAATAAAGTGATACTACTATTGTGGATTCAAGTCTACATTTTCAAACCGGTCGATGGAGCCGCTTTGGAGCTTTGCTCCGATTTTCGCTCGGCAGCATACGACTCCTCCAAACCGCTAATTTAGGCAGAATTGACAATAGTACAATGTTATTTTCCTTAACCCCTGGTAGGGTAAAGCTGTTCTTGTCAGCAGTGCCCCCAACATGTTTGTCCTAGAAAAAAGACCAAAAACTCGCTCAAGTACGACGGAGTTTGTCCTAAAACCAACGAATAGGACCAAAATGACATGGAGTTTGTAAGGAGGATAGTTTAAGTGCTTATGTGCATATTGTATGATATAACATATCTACCTTAAAGAAGGGCTACTTTGGAGGCTTCGCTTGCATATTGATCTCTTTTTTTTGTCCTTAAATGTCAAAGTGTTGGGGTTAAGGAGTAAAGAATAGAAGCGCTCTACCATGGTGCCATCTGGAACATACGTTAATGAAGATATAGGTAGCATGGCACATGGCCATCGCAGATACCATCTTCCTACCACTTCCATTCACGTAGCCCTTGCAAACGTTTATCCAATCACAGCATTTCGTGCCATGGCATGTCAGGATAAGGTTCCATCCTAAGGAAGGAAGCTTACCACGAAAGTTCCGCCACCGGAATCTGCGGATCTAGGTTGAAGAACTTGCCCGTGCTCTCAGTGTTCAGCTTAGCAATTAGGCCGGTTATGGCCGCCACGCTGTCCTCGGGCTTCAGCGATGCCTTGCCCCGGGTCATATCCGTGTCCACGTATCCAGGGTGCACCGATACCACCACGATACCACTAGGCTGCAATTCAAACGCAAGCGATCGAGTGATCATGTTTAGCGCAGTCTTGGAGGACGCGTAGCCGTAAGCTGTCAGCTTGAAGAAATTTTCGGTGTCTTTAGTGAAGCTGCCAATGCTGCCGAGGGCCGAAGACAGCTGGACAACGAAGGCACCACCGTTGGTCTTCGCTGCCAGCTGCAGATTGGGTAGCAGCGCACGCGATAAGAGGAATGGCCCGACGGCATTCACCTCGAGCTGACGCATGAGCGTGTCTTTGGTGCAAGTCTTGAGCGCACTGGGGAGAGCGATACCAGCGTTGTTGATGGGCAGATCGATGGGCTGCCCCTCTAGCTGACGCGCTGCTTCGAGGATGGATGCCTCGTCGCTCGTATCCATTGCGATAATCTTGAATGGAGCAAGTGCTTTTAGCTGAGCAGAACAAAGCTCCTTGTTAGGAAGCTTAGGTCATTCGCTACCGATCCTACCGAATAAATCGGGTAGGATCGGTAGCGAATGACCTAAGCTCACCTTTTCGGTGTTGCTGTTACTGCGAGCCGTGCCGATGACATTTCAACCAGCTTTGACGTAGCTCTCAACGAAACCGAGACCGATGCCGCGAGTGCTGCCGGTAATGAGGATGGTCTTCTTAGCGGAGGCCATTGAAGTCGAGATGGTCAGGAAGAGCTTGTGAATTCGAAAGTGCTTTGAAAAGTGAGAGAAGCGAAAACACAACCGCGAAGTATGACGGGGAGATTAAAGGCTGATTCACATTAAGCTCATGTATTACCTTGAGGCTGAAGTGCTTCACGAACAATCGCACATTGTGATTGCCATGTCATAAGCGTAAACTTTGCTGTGATCACGGAATACATGTAGCACTACAGTACATGTAATGGCAAAAGCATTGTAATTTAAAAATATTTGTTTTTAATATTTTAAAATCCAATGTTTTATTCTCTGGATTTTTATGCTATAAAAATGATATATTATATCATTTTTGAGCTAATATCGAAGTTCTCTTAAACTTAAAGTATGTGAAACCTTAAGTCAGAATGGGGGACCGTTGTAGAACGGAATTCAAGCAGCTTAGTTTGTAGCCAAGTTACTCTTCGCAAGAAGGCACATGAAGAGCTCGGGAACGTTAGCTGCTGACGAAACTGACGACAGTATACAGGGGCTTAGAGACAAATGCGACTCTAGCTTATTAAGCAATGTAAGCTGGCATCAACAGAGAGTAAAAATATGTCGTATTATGGCCAAATAATCTCATATCACTATCGAACATGAAGGCGCTATCAATACAGAGGATCGTCTGTACCTGGTACACGCTGCGACCGTTATTCACACGACCGAAAAAATACACTAACGAGGCGCTTGTTCGTTTGGTAAATTGCCTTCTTTTACTGAACGCTAACGT